GCACCCTGCTGCACAGCGCGGGCACCCTGCTGCACGGCCCGGCCCGGCACGGGCACCCCGCTGCACGGCCCGGCCCGGCACGGGCACCCTGCTGCACGGCCCGGCCCGAGCACCCTGCTGCACAGCGCGGGCACCCTGCTGCACGGCCCGGCCCGGCACGGGCACCCTGCTGCACAGCCCGGGCACCCCGCTGCACAGCCCGGGCACCCCGCTGCACAGCGCGGGCACCCCGCTGCACAGCCCGGGCACCCCGCTGCACGGCCCGGCCCGGCACGGGCACCCTGCTGCACAGCCCGGCCCGGGCACCCTGCTGCACGGCCCGGCCCGGGCACCCCGCTGCACAGCGCGGGCACCCTGCTGCACAGCCCGGGCACCCCGCTGCACAGCCCGGGCACCCCGCTGCACAGCCCGGGCACCCCGCTGCACGGCCCGCCCTAACGCTCTTGGTGCGGCCGGCACCATTCGGCCAAAAAGCGGGACCCGGCCCCCTTGCGCTGCGCGTGAAAGGAAGGCAGAATTCCCTCCTCCGGGCACCGCTCCTCTCTGCCTCCTCCCCGTGCACAGGAGACTAGTAAGTCTTAAACCGCACCATTAAGCCTAAGGAACACTGTTTAAAGTTTCTGTATATATAAAAGATTTGCATGTCTAAAAAAATCAGCTTTTTTTTTTTTTTTTCCAGGTAACTTAAGATACTGCTTCCACCTGTAAAATTTGTTACATATATGCTTAGACCATAACAGCTCTAATACTCTTAGAGAAAAAAAAAAAAAAAAAAAAAAAGACAAAAAAAAAAAAAAAAAAAAAAAAAAAAGAGAGAGAGATCAGACACCTAAACATTTGGATTCCAGACAGTCTGTATGATTTCCTGGACTGTAACTAGACTGGTTACTTTAGGGCAGGTGACCAGAAAAAAGCCTAGACCTCATTACATATATTGTTCATTCTCTTAGTCATTTGAATAGGTGTTTTCCCCCAATTAACATTAAGGTTTGAAAAACAGAAGAAAAGAAACTTCATTTCTGTACCCTACTTACAAAATACTTACCAACTTGTTTCAAGAATTCATTCCAACTCCCACAGCAACATTATTCTATTTCTTTTGCCTCTTCCCCCTCCCCATTTTCAGCAGTATTTCCATAAGCAGCACCATCAAAAAGCCATCAGGGATTTGCATCTTAGAGCACTTCAAATACCTTTCCAAAGCTGGCCTTTATTCCCACATTTCTCTTACCTTATCTGTTCTTCCTAAATAACGCAGCTTTGCTCAGCAGGAAGGTGCAGCGTTTCGTGCTGATGCTCTGCCTGGCGTGAACGCAGCACCCTCCGCACCTCCGGCTTTGTGTCGGTGCTTCTGTCCCCCCGGTCCCCCTTCCTCCTGTCATTTCATAACCTACGGCCCCTGTTACGCAGGAGGTCAGATTATCACATTGCTCCCTTCTGGCCTTAAAACCTAGGAGCCTGTGTCCTATTGTCTGCCTCCCAGCTGCTTATCTTCCTCACTCGCAAGCTTTTGTTTTGTGCCTTACATTCTCCCTCAATGGTATTAATCCTCCCGCTGATTTTTTTTACTTTATCTTGGTGAAAAAAAAAAACAGTGGAAATACGAATCTGAAATCGTGGCTTTTGCTCCCTGCATCATCTGCTTCTCCTCTGATTCTCTACCTGGATATTAGCAGCCGATAGAATGCCAGCTTTTTATATTCTTTGCATTGCATGTGCTATTCTGCTCTGCACAAAACATGCACTAATTCAGAGTTTAGGAGTAGAGAAGTGCTCTACTAAAGAAGAGAAGTGACTATGCCAGGAACACGTGGAGCTGGCAGGCCCTGACTGCTGCTGTTGGCCGCGTGCGAGCGGGCGATACGACTCTGCTGTACTTAGGAGCAACGCTACCTGCTTATTTTTGACCTGCAATAACAGCTTATTTTTTATGCAAAAGGATATTTACAAGTGCAAACTTAAGCAGAGAAAACAAAACATGCTATTCATGATGGCATGGCTCTTGTCATGTCCTAACAGGTCTTTACATGAAAAATAAAGCTTCAAGGAGGCAGAATTTGGAAAATTCATTATTACAAGAAGATTTAGGAGGTATGACCCTATATTTGTTAGTCATATTAAAACAGATTATGTTGTCAAGCTAATAGCCTTAAAACATTTACATAAATATTAAGAAAAAGTTATAACTTACTTTTACAGCGGCGTCAGTAAACAGCAGCAGCTTTCATGTAGCACTTGGCTTTTTTATCTCTTCAACCATCTCGAATCAACCGGATTTTTTGACACTGCATCTTATTACTACCTTAGGTCACATAATTATGTTTATACAACGAACTAGAAGTATTACTATCAAATCCTTCCAACTTTTACACATTAATTTTATTAAACATCTTATAACAAAAAAAGTCAAACTCATAAATAATTTGGTAGTAATTTTAACAGTCAAAAATATTTCACTTTTAATAAGGAACTGACACCCTCTTCTATAGATGTTTTGTGCCATTTGAATGAACAGTTCTTTTAAACCAATGTACCTTCAGGTTTCCTTTGCTGCAGCGGCTGTGAGAGGGGTCCATTTTCTCTCTGAGTGGTACTTTTATTAAACACCTATCACTCAGTAGCCTTTTACTTTTTTGGCTTCTTGGCAGTTTGCATTTTTTTCACCCTTACAGTTCCATACAGTACTGTTTGCTGATGCATCCTAGGGCACAGTATTAACACTCTGCCCATCAGAATCCTCTCTTTCTTAAACCTTCTTCTGCCTAAGACACTCATAAAATCCCTGCAGAGCAGCTCTTGCCACTCCAAATAGCTAGCTGAGCTTGTTACATATTGACAGGAGAGGTTCCTCACCCCTTTCGCTGGAGTGGGGAGAAGTAGGTGTGATCTCTCCTTACATTCCAGATAATGGAGGAATGAGAATGCAGTTGGAGTGGAGATAATTCTCATGACAGTCAAAGGTGTATCAATAGGTAACTGAGGCAGATTCACATATCGTAAAATTAGAACAAACAGAATCCTCCAGAGATCAGGGTGAAGACGCTTTTAGATTGAAAAATTAATTTACCAGAAATGAGCTCATTGTATTTCCTGCCATATGCTAGCACATTTTTTGCCTATCAGATGTATTTGGTTGGAACATCAATGGAATTTCCCTGAGAGATCCTTCTTTTAACCTCTCACAGCATACACCTGCTCTCAAATGTCTGCACATAACCCTATCATGTAAAGCAAAGTTGCTTGTGATTTCCAAAGCTGCCTGTTTTGATTTTTGCCTAACCCGACAGCTTATGTTATTGCACAAACATCTGCAGGCATTTCTGAGAGCATATGCTCAGGCCGACTGCTCCTGAAGTCACATGTGAAAAGTGACTATCAGTGTTGATACCTAACTGCTTCCATGGAGCCACACTGAGCATGGCCAGCTAGGAAGCCATGGAAATCAGTGGAGTTTCATACAAAATTACCAGCATGCAATACAATTCTCAAGGAATGTCAGTGCATAACAGGTCCTTGTCTACATCTACATTTCATAATCCTACAGAACAAAACTCACTACTGATAGTTATCCTTACCTGCTACAAAGTACCCTCCAGCTTCTCATTTATCTAAGGAGTCTTGATTTTAGTCCAAGTGCTGAGCAAATGATCTATCAAATGATGGTAATAAAACACTTAACTCTAAAAGTTCAAATGCTTACTCTTAAGAGAGCAAAAGACTCTCAGCAGGCAAGAAGTTTTTAAAATCCAAAATCTTCACATTCTTTGTAGAAATTCCAGTGTTTTTCCATTATGTGACATGGTAGAAACTCATCTTTATGCACTATTACCATCTCATTGAAAAGAAGAAAATGCATCAGATTTTCTAATGAGTTGAACCGGACCGGCGAGCCTATTGAAAACGAAAGCAAATGATTAGAAATTTTGTATTGAAATAATGGAAAGCAATTCTTAGCACTATTACCTAGATTAACAGCTTTTTAGAAGCATGTAAAGCATTACAGTTCCCTGTGCTCTGGGAATCCTGTAACAGCCATGTAATCTGTCGTACAGGCACAACATCACACCCAGACTTCGCTTAGACAAGGGCAGTATCACACTTGTTGGTACCCAGGGTGAGAAATTGCAGCCATTTCCAACTATTGGCCCCCCGTGGAAATAGGTATAAAAATTCACTTCTTCAATATTGCTTGCATTTCCCTTTTGTCTCCACAAATGGGTAAGTTTAGCCTACTTGTCAAAAACAAAGGAATCCCTCTAATCATGCCCTTCCTACAGTCCTGAGGGACCTGTATGAAGAGGGAGACACACACCTGAACACAAGAAACTGCAGGATTGAGCAACAAGTATTGCAATATCTGCTGGAGTGAAGCAACTACTGTGATGCATAAACTGAAGGTTCAGTGTCACTGCAGGAGAATCTGACCTTTGCGTTTCCAATTTCACAGTTAAAATCAGTAACAAAATAACATTAGGACAGTCTAGCAGTAACAAATTTTACAGGATGTTTTCTCTATAACAGTACAGAATGCAAAAGCTGTTTGGGTTTTCAGAGGTATTTGCTGCTTTTGTGTGTTTTTCCTTTTCACAAAACATCAGCTAAGCAGCTGAGGTACCACAACCATCCCAACACAAAAACACAAAAAACGAGGACAAAATTGTCATATTTATCAGCTGCTATTAACAGAAGGAGGGGGCATTTCAAGTAGCGATGGCCCTACTTTTCTGAAGAAAACAAAACGAGTGTTCAGGTAACATCTGTGTTCAGGTAACATTTGTGTTCAGGTAACATTTTAGAGGCAATCAGGTCAGCCAGGTCTAATAAAACTGTCAAAACGCAGGTAAGGCCTCTTTGAAGCTACATCAGTTGTTCATTCAGTTTACACTTATTTCTTGCCAAACCGTGACATTGCAAGAGTTAGTCTTTCTCTGTCACCACTGTTTCCCGATAGTGTCACCAACACTGCTTTCACAATTGAACACAGGATGCTCACACACCTGATAGCACTGCTAGGTCCTGATTGGAAAAAAAAATAAAAATCAGTCTATCTTCTAGAGTTTCTGTAAGTCTAGTGTATCTTCTTTTAAATCGACATCTGGCACTCATTGGGGATTTGCCTGCTAGTTGCTTATCTCCAGGATCTCACCCCCCAAGCAGCAAGGTGGGAACGACTGACAGCTCCGCGCTCAGCGTCACAACAGCCTGTCCAGCGCAGATTGACACTGTTCCAGGCCCGTGACATTCACAGTGAAACAATCCAACCTCAATGAGCACAAGATTTCAGCCAGTACCTCACGTCAGTTAAACCACGTCATTATATAATGCGTAAAGGAACAAAAAGCGGGAGGGATACGCAGTCTGATATCCAGGGTATATTCAAGTGCCCCAGACTATGACAGACTGTCCGGGCCAAGAGGCGATAACTGCAGGGCTCCTCACACAGATCTTCACCCTCTGTGAGCCGCTGTTAGTCACACTACTGTAGTGAGAGGTCACCTACCTGGTTTACCAGAAGAAACGAGTCAAATAGTGTAAAGAGGAATGCTTGGATGAGAACCCATGGAAGTTACAACAACAACAACATCCCCACCTCCTCCCCTGCCTTTTCCCCTCTTCAAGAAGGAAGGAAGGA